ATTGTGATTATATATTGAGTAATATTGACATATTGTGATTATATATTGAGTAATACTGACATATTGTGATTATACATTGAGTAATATTGACATATTGTGATTATATATTGAGTAATATTGACATATTGTGATTATATATTTAGTAATATTGACATATTGTGATTATATATTTAGTAATATTGACATGTTGTGATTATATATTTAGTAATATTGACATGTTGTGATTATATATTTAGTAATATTGACATATTGTGATTATATATTGAGTAATATTGACATATTGTGATTATATATTGAGTAATATTGACATATTGTGATTATATATTGAGTAATATTGACATATTGTGATTATATATTGAGTAATATTGACATATTGTGATTATATATTGAGTAATATTGACATATTGTGATTATATATTTAGTAATACTGACATATTGTGATTATATATTTAGTAATATTGACATATTGTGATTACATATTGAGTAATATTGACATATTGTGATTATATATTGAGTAATATTGACATATTGTGATTATATATTTAGTAATATTGACATATTGTGATTATATATTGAGTAATATTGACATATTGTGATTATATATTGAGTAATACTGACATATTGTGATTATACATTTCGTAATACTGACATATTGTGATTATATATTGAGTAATATTGACATATTGTGATTATATATTTAGTAATACTGACATATTGTGATTATATATTTAGTAATATTGACATATTGTGATTATATATTTAGTAATATTGACATGTTGTGATTATATATTAGTATATTGACATATTGTGATTATATATTGAGTAATATGGACATATTGTGATTATATATTGAGCAATATTGACATATTGTGATTATATATTGAGTAATATTGACATATTGTGATTATACATTTAGTAATATTGACATATTGTGATTATATATTGAGTAATATTGACATATTGTGATTATATATTTAGTAATACTGACATATTGTGATTATATATTTAGTAATATTGACATATTGTGATTACATATTGAGTAATATTGACATATTGTGATTATATATTGAGTAATATTGACATATTGTGATTATATATTTAGTAATATTGACATATTGTTATTATACATTTAGTAATATTGACATATTGTGATTACATATTGAGTAATACTGACATATTGTGATTATACATTTCGTAATACTGACATATTGTGATTATATATTGAGTAATATTGACATATTGTGATTATATATTGAGTAATACTGACATATTGTGATTATATATTTAGTAATACTGACATATTGTGATTATATATTGAGTAATATTGACATATTGTGATTATATATTGAGTAATACTGACATATTGTGATTATATATTTAGTAATACTGACATATTGTGATTATATATTTAGTAATACTGACATATTGTGATTATATATTTAGTAATA